ATACTCGGGAGCCAGGCAGCAAGGCAACCATCTTTACTTTTACATAGAGGAGTGCACACACATGGTCTGCTCAGGTTTATACTCCCTGATGCACGTGACCTGTCCTTTGATCTTGATTGGAGCTCAGGTGCACAGTCTTTCGAGATTGGCTAATTCAAAGGGAGGGGCTGGCCTTTGCTGTTTCAAGATGGCAGCCCCCAGGGGAGCTGTAAGTCATGTGGCCAACATGGTGGCTGCCAAGTCACGTGGTCCACAATGGTGGCTGTCTAAACCGTTCGACAGGAAAGATGACTTGTTTATTCTCACATCCCTAAAAATCAGAAGAAAAAAATATCCTCAGGTGAGGATTAACACAAAATAAAAATAAAATAATAAAAAAAATAAAGAAAAGAAAAATACATCTTCAGTGGAAAGTACAGAGTTCACCTGTGCCCCTGTCATCCCACAGGAAGAAGCCAGTGCTGTGGACAGCTGGCCTGGCTGGGTTTGGCCGCAGGGTCAGCAGATGAACTGATGGTGTACACCATTGTCAACTACAGTCCCTCTGGTTCCTACTTTGTGTTGAACGTGCTGAGGTTTTTGACAAACATGTGATGTCCTACTCACCATTGTAGACCCAGGGAACAGCTCCTCCGCCCTAAAGACCCCTCGCACTCCAGCAAGTCCTACTTACTCCCCACCCCAAGCCCTGGTCACTTTTCTTGCTCTCTACTCTTTCATGTCTGCCATTTACACAGCGATTACAGCTTTTTATTTATTTATTTTTAATAGATTTTAATAGATTTTATTCTTTTTTTTTTTTTTTTTTTTTTTTTTTTTTTTTTACAGAGATGAAGGGAGAGGGATAGAGGATTAGGAACATCAATGAGAGAGGAACACTGATCAGCAACCTCCTGCACACCGTCTACTGGGGATGTGCCCACAACCAAGAATCAAACCCTTGACAAGAATCAAACCTGGGACCCTTTAGTCCGAAGGCTGACACTCTATCCACTGAGCCACACCGGTTAGGGCTGATTTTAGCTTTTTAAAATTAGTGTCACATGTTGCTCCATGTCCATCCCTCTACTCGCACCTCACTGTGCCTTATAGCTGAAGTGGTTTCTTAAAAGCAGCACTATAGCTGGGTCTTGTTTTTATAATCCACTCAGACAGTCTTTGTCTTTGTAGTAATGTATTTAGGCAGCGTGGGGAGCCGGGCAACAGAAGGGACAGCACAGCCAACGCTTGGTTACCGCGGCCGGAGCACCCTGGGGAGCAGAGGCCAGGGGCTGAGTCTCATTTCTTCTCATAGAAAAGGAGCCGTGACCCTGGTGACCCCTGTTTTCTCGGCAGCCCCCTCTCCTCTATCCCCCCTGCCCCTCCCCCCGCCCCCCGCCGGACTGCATGGCTCCCGACTTACATGGAGCCCTCAGGCCACTGGCTTCCCAATCTGACACCAGGGGTTCATCGCCCACCGCTATCCGGCAACCCCACTTTAGGAGGGGAAACTGAGGCACGGAGTTTAAGCCACTTGCCTGAGGTCACACACCAGTGCACGACAGGGATAACCCAGAGTCTGGCTCCAAAGCACAAACAAAACCCCTGCCCCCTGCCGCCCGCCTGGTGCTCCCCAAGCAGGTGAAACAGGCGGGTCACCTAACCCCCCCTCCCCCCCCCCCCCCCCCCCCCCCCCCCCCCCCCCCCCCCCCCCCGCCCCCACCTCCACCGCCTGCCCCGCCCCGCTGTCTGCGCCTCAGACACCTGGCCAGCAGCCCCATCAGGCCTGTGGTGAGGCCCGCCCTGGGCCATTCACTGGTGACCTCAGGCCCGTGTGAGGGAGAACCAGGGCATGGAGGGGTGAGGGAGGGGGAGGGGGAGGTGGGAGGGGGAGCAGGGGAAGAGAGCTAGAGGGAGGGGGAGGGGGAGGGGGAGGGGGAGCAGGGGAAGAGAGCTAAAGGCAATCTAAGTTTGCTCCTTCTGCATCACGTGGAAAGACTGGGGGGCAGGGCACCTCACCGCATTCTTAGTTTCGAGCACATTAAGAAAAACGAATTTAAAAAATTGCAGTGAAAGATACATCCTATTCTAAGTTTAAAACACTTTGGATGGGAGTGAAGATCAAAAGGACAGAGGGAAGGGTGCAGAGGCCCCCAAGAGAATCCAGTTCCCCACAGGAATGAAGGTCACCCCACAGAACCAGACGACGCTTTTGGCTGGGAATTTAAAAAACGCTTCTTGACTGGCTGTGAAAAGACCGGAAACAGACTCGCTGGCTGAGCGAGGAAAACGGTCCTCCCACCCTCTGTGCTTCTGGAACCTTCCTCCAAGCGAGGTCTCCAAATAACGGGGCCTCTGACAGCCTTTTGAGGGGAGGGGGGATCCCCAAGCTCAGAATGGTTCTTGTAACAATAGGAACACGTTTGGCTCTTACTGGTTGACAGTTGCATGGATGGGTGTAAAAGTAAAGGCGGGAAAAACCACCCAGACCTTGGCACTCACCTGCGCTGGCCTCCCTGCGATCCTCACCACCTTGAATTTGCAGGGAAAGTCCCAGTCTCCTTGAAAATGTCCTAACAGAGCCGTAAAAATTAATTTTTTAAGAATAAGTGAATACACATCTTTTTAATTTCTGGGTAATAAAGTGAAAAGTGCACATATCCTTATGCTGCTAGAGAATATAGTCAATAATAATATAATTATAAACTAGAGGCCCAGTGCACAAAATTTGTGCATGGTGAAGCCGGGGGCGGGGGTGGGTGTCCCTCAGCCTGGCCTGCACCCTCTCCAATCCGGGACATCCTTCTCGCAATCCACAACTGCTGGCTCCTAACCACTAACCTGCCCGCCGGCCTGATTGCCCCTAACCAACTCTGCCTCGCCCCCCACCACCACGGCTTTGTCTGGAAGGAGGTACAGACGACCAAAAGATGTCTGGTCGACTAAATCTAATTAGCATATTACCCTTTTATTAGTATGGATGGTTACAAGACTTATCAGGGGGTGGGGTGTCACTTTGTAAGATATATCAGTGTCTAACCACTAGGCTACACTTGAAACTAATATGTATAATATTGTACGTCAACTGGGGGGAAATTAGAAAAAATGCTTTTATGTTTTAATATTTTAAATTTAATATATAAAGTAAATATTGATGCTATCTTCAAAAAAAAAAGAACTTGTTTGAGTTGTAAGCTAAACTAGCCACTTTATTCATGAACACCATATTTATTGAAAGAGCAACTTGATAAATTACATTTATTCAGACTTGGGTATTTGACAAGTATTTCCTCAAAAGTAAATGAAACAGGTCTGTCACTTCGAAGAAAAGTTGGTGTTTGTTGCTGATGATAAAAGTTGAGCTTTCAAGTAAAAAAAAAATCTGAATTTTTTGGCATTTCTGGCTGCCACTTTGAGCTTGACCGCTTCCCAGCGCTTCGCTGATGAAATGGGTGGTGATAGTAACGAATGCGATTGCTTGATGCTCTGTACTGACATGGGCCAACAGGCTGAAGCAATATTTTCCATGTGCCTGCGGCACGCTGTTACGAAATCACGCCGGGTCAGAGCCCGTGCCAAGTGCCAGACCGGCCTGCGGGACTTCCCGCAACCACAGGGACATGGCTTATTGACATGGTTTTGCTTCCAGCTGCCGTGTAAGCGAATTGCCGGCTTCGGCGTAACAGCAGACAGTGCCCACCGAGACTTGAGAGTTACTCCTCGCCCCTCCCTCCTCCAGCTATGGATCAGCGTGAGGCCTGATCTTCTTCAAAACGTGTCCCTGCAGCCCGGAGGCGGCGGTGTCAGAACCCAGCCCTCTTCCCCGAAAACAGACATCAGAGAGATCGGGAAGCAGGGAAAAGGCACTCTCAGAAAAATGGTGATTTTTCCATAACCATGTTACTTTATTTATTTAAAATATATTTTATTGATTTTTTACAGAAAGGGAGAGGGAGAGCTAGAAACGTCGATGAGAGAGAAACATCCATCAGCTGCCTCCTGCACATCCCCCACTGGGAATGTGCCCACAGCCAAGGTACATGCTTTTGACCGGAATCGAACCCGGGACCCTCCAGTCTACAGGCCGACGCTCTACCCTCTGAGCCACACTGGTTTCGGCTCTAGGCCCTTCCTAAAATGAACTTTTCACTTGAAGGAACAATTTTTGGGGATGCCTGCAGGGAGGGCTCCCAGCTGGGCCCAGCCTGGTCACCGTGTGGTAGCTGGCCGGCGCATGTATCAATAAAAATCCCTTACAGGGAGCCGTGACTCAGGCCGGGGGAGGGCTGCTGACGAGCCACCCCTCTGCCCGCCCCGCCGGGTGGGGACGGGGAAGGACGACGCTCACGCGGGGGTGTTTATATAAACAAAATACTTTATTTGAGAAAGAAAACGGCCAAGTTACAAAACCTCTGCACTTAGGCTCTGTCCGCGGCCACGCCAGAGGTCTGGAGGGGACCTCGGCTCCCGTCGCGGTTAGGTGGGACCGCACGCAACCGCCCACCGGGTCGGTAAGAACAACAGCAGCCCAGTACTGGTTCCAGGGGGTCCGACCCCATGTACAATGAGCCGGTGGCTAACGTGTCCCGTCACATGCCCGTCGATGTCATAAACCGACGTCCGGGCGGTAGGCAGGTCCCGCCCTGGAGACATCCTGTGTGTAAAGAGGCCGGGGCGGCTCTGTCCTTCCCAGCGCGTCCTTGTCGCTGGGCGTGTGGTCTCATCCCAGGGACTGGTCCCTCTCACCATGCGAGGGACCTCGGTCCGGCCCTGCCACCCACCGGGCTGGGCCCCTGGGCGTTCTGCATCCAAAGTACAAGGATAAAACAAGACGAGGAGCAGCGTGGCATCCAGACAGACGGCCGAGCCTCGCGGAGAACGAGGAGGGCCCACGCGCTCGCTCCGCTCACATCCAGGTCCCCTCAAGGCCCCCCTCCCCCGCCTCCCGCTCCCTGCAGCGCGGACGCGGAGCCGAGATAAAAAATAAAGCTTTCTTGTTACAAAGTACATTTTTTTTTTTCTCCAGTGAAATACTTTTACAGTAAAAATAGCTGCTACATAAATCCCTCCTCGTCTCAGAAAAGGAGTTTGCATATTTTTCCAAAAATAGTATTCTTATTTTAATCAGAGTCACGTGGGGCTGGGGGGGGGGTGAGCTGCAGGAGGAACACACAGACAAACTGGGAAGCCAGGTTTGTGGATCCACGGGCTGAAAGGCATGCGTCGGCACGAGGGACTTATGCCCTCCGTCAAGAAAAATACTGCTTTAGAGGTTTTACGTTACAATTCAAAGGAGAGGCTGGAGGCGGCCCCAGATAATAACATTACATTTCTTATAAAAATCCCCAAATGAACAACGTCCTTGCCGGAGAATAGCCCGGGCAAAGCAAACAAAACAAAACAAAACAAAACACACACACAAAAATATGGGGGGTGAGCCCCCTTAGACCTTCGCCTGGAGGCACAGTAAATGCAAATGATTCGCGTCTCACAAACCCTCTGCAAAACGCCATCATGGGCGCTCCTGAAAAAAAACCAAAAAAACGGGGTACGCGTGGCGCACTCTTATGTCACAGAGTCATAGAGTTACTTTAAATTACAATATACAACTTCTGTTAAATAGAACGGTGAGGGCTTAGATAAACAGGGGTAAGATTACAATCCTTATGTACAAACCCGCGTCCGAAACCGCACGATGGCTCCCTGCCCCTCCCGCCCTCCGAGACAGAGAGACCGCCTTCCTGTCCGACGGCCGGAGAGGACGAACCAAATGTGCGCGTCCACACGCTCCCTCCTCCTCCGAGGACGCTCGCAGCCTCACGCGGCCCCTGGGGCGCCCCCTCGGCCGCGTCCACGCGGCTGCAGCCCCCCAATGGCGTGTTCCTGCCCATAGGCTCCGTGTGCTTCGGGCAGAGCCGCAGTTTGGAAGGAAAAGGCCACTGCTTCTCGGTGCTGTCCCCCCCCCCCAGAGTGGGGGCGGCCGGCAGGGCCCGGGCGTCGGTCGGGATGGCCCCATCCCGCGCGGCCCCGGCCTCAGTCCTCCGTGTCCGGCTGGACGCCCAGGATGGCGTGCAGCTCCTCGGGCGTGAAGCCCAGCAGGTTCTGCAGGTCGCACACGAAGCGGTACACGTAGCGCTTGCCTGACGTCTTATGGATGATGTTCTTGTCGTAGTAGTAGCGGAGGCCGCGGCTCAGCTTCTCGTAGTTCATCTTGGGCTTGTTCTTCCGCTTGCCCCAGCGCCGGGCCACCTGGGGGGAGACGGGCGGGGGAGAGCTCAGTCCCGCCCCGTTGTGCTCGCCAGGGGACCTGCCCACGGAAGGACCCCGGAGGTCCCGTCGGCCTGAGGATGGTACCGGGGCGCGCCCCTCGGCTGGCTCTCCGAGGACCGAGGGTAAGGGGGACCAGATCGTCCCGCTGCTGGCGGGACAGTCCAGATGTTTAACAGTGTTCCCCTGCGTCCCACGGCGTTTTTAAAAAAGTCCCGATAATCGTTAAAAATCTGGACTGTCCCGCCAAAAGCAGGACGATCTGGTCACCTTAACCAAGGGAAGGGCCGCCTGGCACAGGGCTCCTACAGCCCCTCACTCAGCACAACCTCCCAGAAACCAAGGGCTCTGAACTGGGGGTCCTGAGGCCAGGGACAAGCTGTGCTCACCCCCCTGACTCACCCCCCCGGGTCTTAGGGTCTTCTTCCCACCAGCAGATGCTGAGTGGGGTTCTGAGCTGGTGACATCAGGGATCTCAGTGCTTCCACTTCCCAGGGGCTGGGGAGGTGGCAGGGCTTCCCCCCGATGGGCAGGGCTGGACCTGCCCCCCCCAGCTCAGCTGAGGGGCATAGGAGCCCAGCCGGTGTGCACACAAGGCTCCCCCCTCCCCCCAACAGGAACAAGCCACCCTCCCAAGGCCCTGTCCCACGGCCAGGAGGGAGCCTCGGTGTACTGCCTGCGCCTCTGCATTCAATGACGGAGCAAGGCGGCCAGCGGGGCCGGACACACTCCCGGGCCGGGCCCACCGGGAGAGCTCGCCTCCGTCCCGGGACCCTCTCTGTGCCCGGGGAGCTGAGGGTGTGAACCCAAAGCCGGGAGAGCGGGGTCGGGCGCCTCAGACCGATCCCCGGGCTCTGGGCCTACCTCGTCGGGGTCGGCGAGCTTAAACTCCCAGCCGTCGCCGGTCCAGCTGATGAAGGACTGGCAGGATTTATCCGAGAGCAGTTCCAGCAGAAACTGCCACAGCTGGATGGGTCCGCTTCCTGGGGAGGAAGAGGCAGTCACAGGTGTTATTGGTGTTTAGAGGGGACGCAAGGCAGAGACACGGAGGAGAGAGAAACACGGACCGGCTGTCTCCCTGACACCCCCCACGGGGGATGGAGCCAAAAACCCGGGCACGTGGCCTGGCCGGCCATGAAACCGGTGGCCTCTTGGTTCATGGGTCCATGTTCAACCCTTGAGCCATACTGGCCAGGCCAGCTGTCGGTTTTCACAGATTTAAAATACAGCAAGGTTGCCGAAACTTGTTTGGCTCAGTGGATAGAGCGTCGGCCTGCGGACTGTACCTTGGTTGCGGGCACATCCCTGGTGGGGAGTGTGCAGGAGGCAGCTGGTCGATGTGTCTCTCTCATCAATATTTCTAGCTCTCTATTTCTCTCTCTTCCTCTCTGTAAAAAATCAATAAAATATACTTAAAAAAAATAAAATAAAATACAGCAAGGGGCCAGCCGTCCCCGTGACACAGACAGACAGGCTGCAGAACGTGGGCCCGACCCTGGTGCCGATGCCAAGGTGCCGCTCCAGGTGGTGGGGACAGTCCCGAACGCTAAGCAGGATGGACGAGGCTAGGCCCCAAGCAGAATCCCCGCTCCGGGAAAGGAGGCCCCTGGCCCCGGGGGCCTGGCTTGGGTCTTTCTGGGGGGAAATTCAGGGCCACTGACGGCGGGCGTCACAATTCCAAACCCCGTTCCTCCCGGAGCCCCGTGCAGGGCTTGTTGCTATGGACGCTGGGCGGGAGGCAGGGGCAGGCAGTTACCCACGGGGCCACACGGTGCCTGTGGGATCCCGTGCGGTGGCTCTCTGGCCACGGGACGGTGGCTCCATTGCTTAAACCAAGACTCCGTTTCCTCAAGAGCCACTGGAGCACTGGGAGCGGGCTCCAGGGCCTGGCCGCCTCCGTGGGCTGCCGCCCACGCTCTGCCAAGCGCCCTTTCTGGGCCAGGATTTGGAACCGCCGCCTTGTGGTCCAGCGGCAGGGCCCTGCCTGTCACACGCCCGTCCCAGAGCTGGTCCCCAGGACCCAGAGGCCACGGGCAGCGAGGTGTGGCTACGGGCACCGAGGCCAGGCGTGCTGGGGCCCATGGAACCGGCTGCCGGTGCGCCAGGGAGCTGTGTCACCGGGCGCATTGCCCCATCTGTAAAATGGGTCAATGCCGCCCACGCAGGGCGGCCTACCGACTCCCGACAGCACGCCTGGCGCACCCACGGGGCAGGGAAGGAACTAACATGGAACACACCCACCCGGGCCTGACCTGGGCATTACCTCATCGGGCCCCGACCCCCGGTGTGGGCAGCATGGCCTCTCGCTCCCCCTGCGTGCCCTCCACACGCCTCCGCGGCCGGCTGTGTCTCAGAGGACAGCAAGGTGGCGTGGGTGCCACCCAGGCCTGTTTTCACCCACCAGGGCTTGTACGTAGGTGCTTTTTAAATCCCCAAGGGCTCTATATATAGCCAAAGTACAGGGGGAAGGGCTCATTTAAGGACGCATGAAGCAATTTTAAAAAATAAGTAAATAAAAATCTCGGTATTTTTGCTAACATGCTGGAAATAATCTGGTTCCAAAAACAGCCCTGATATTTGTCCCCTGCCTAGAATAGCTCTCGCCCAAACCTTATAAATCAGAGGGGTTTTAGGAGCGGGGCAAGGTAAACAGGCCTGTGTTATTTGAGGCCGGCAGGCCGCCCTCCCCGAGCCAGTTTACATTCTTTGAAATTCCTGGAGTGGGTGAGTCAGAGCCGAAGCCTCTGTGGCCTCAGTGCCCTCCTCCTCCTCCTCCTCCTCCTCCCTGCCTCCCTGGGGAGGCCGAGGGAGCTGTGTGCCCTCCCCTCCAGACCTGGCAGCTGGCCGCTGTAGAATTCAGAGACGCAGCTAAGACGTGGCTCAGCGACCAGGTGCCTGGATGCAGGGTCACACCCCCGGGTCAAACGCGGGGTGCAGATGCAATGTGCTCAGACCAGACCCGCCCTGGGTAAACAAACACGGCTGGGACGGACAGGGCGCAGGGAGGGGGCGGGCCCCGGAGCGGCACACTCACCCGTGAAGCCCGCGAGCACAGCCGCAGGAATGACCGGTTTGCCCTGCTCGGCCGGGTCGCTCCTCTCCTGGATGTAGTCCTTGAAGGACATGGTGGGCTTGCCGGGGCCCAGGGCCTGGCCGTCCTCCTCGCAGCTCTCGAAGGAGGGCACCCGCTGCTCCAGCAGCGACGACTGGCTGCTCCAGGACTGCAGCAGGGAGTCCGAGCTCTCGAAGCTGTCACCGCCCTGCTCCGAGGCGTCGCGGTCCCCGGGCTTCCCTGGCGGACAAGCAGGCACACACTGTGACCCTCCGGCCGGGGACATGTGGGCCCCGCTGCTCACACCTCACCGCGGGGTGTCCTGGACTCACGGGCGGCGGCATTGCTGCCAACCTCCCCCTCCCACGTGTGCCCTGCGGTGTACACCCAGTCAGACTTCAGGCTGCTCTGAAACGGAGGGCTGGGGCCTGGTATGCATGCCACACAGACACACCTCCTTCCACAACAGCGTCAATACGCCATGCGGGGCCGCCCAGGGCGGAGTACTATACAGCCGAGAAAAAGGACAGAGGAGGGCCACATCCAACAGCATAGATGGATCTCAGACATGGTGATGAGTAAACACACACACACCACACACACACACACACACACTGTGGCTCTACTTGTACCAAGGTCAAGAACAGGGAAAACTAGGATGATAAGAGGACGATCAATGGTTTCCTCTTGGGGCAGGGATGCTACTGATGATGGAGAAAGGGTACGAGAGCCTCAAGGGGTGCTGGAGACCTGGCTCCACCGGATGCAGGGGTGCATGGGGTGGCCGTGACTAAGGGTGCACAAGTACAAATTCAACCAGGCGTGCAGCCTGAGGTCTGTGCTGTGTGTGTACATATTTCCGTCAAAAGAAATCTGTTCCCTTCCTATACGGCCTCCCAAAATACCCCACTGGGTGGAGGCATCGACTCCCAACAGCAACACCCCCAGGCCCGGACCAACACCCCAGGCCCCGACCAACACCCCCAGGCCCCGACCAACACCCCCAGGCCCCGACCAATACCCCCAGACCCCGACCAACACCCCCAGACCCCGACCAACACCCCAGGCCCCGACCAACACCCCCAGGCCCGGACCAACACCCCCAGACCCCGACCAACACCCCCAGGCCCGGACCAACACCCCCAGGCCCGGACCACAGCCCAGAGCCGGCCAGGCGTGCTTGCTGGGGGGATGGTGGGCGAAAGCGGCCTGAGGAGCCCAGGACACGGGCACAGCAGCAGCTGGGTCGCTATCAGACCCCCGCTCCCGCCGTCCGACCACAGCCTGCTCCAAGGGCCGTGCGGAGCTCCTTACCGGGACCGCCAGCCATCAGGTTCAAGGTGCTGCCGGTGAAGTCCTGCCTGACGGAGCAGTAGCCGACGCCGACCGTGCCGAGCGGGGCCTTGGGGAACATGGGAAACTCCTGCTCGGCGCTGAGGGTGCCAGGCGGGCACATGCTGTCCAGGAGGCTGCCTTTGGGGTAGCTCGGCGTCTGCATCCCGTAAGGCACCTGCTCCACGCCAAAGCCTGGAACAGAACCATCGACGGCGGAGCCGTTAGGCGACTGTCTGTGACCATCAGAGACCCTCACCCCTCTGCACACGAGCAGTTCCTCAAGGGTATGGGCTGTGACGGGCAGGCCTATTGGCCCCTTTCCGAAATGCCTGCGGCCTCTGGACCCTGGGTGCCAGCCTCGGCGTTAATGTTTCAGTGGCTCTCGTCCAACAAGAGCTTTCTGTGACCGGCAGGAGGACAAGGGTCACTGGCGTTCGACCTCCGAGGACACTAAGGCTTGGGCTGAGTGACATGCCCCCAATATGGCATCTCCATTCCTGTCTGTCCTGGCTGTAACCTGCACTCATGTGCCAGCAACCAGAGGGAGAAGCTGAATGCCCTGACTCCCCTCTCAACGCCAAAGTTCAGAGCGAATTTGGTGGCGCTTCACACAGACTTCCTGCCCTGGCCCAGCCGCCTCTCCTCCCTTATACTGGATGGGACCCCAGCACCCCGCTCCCTGCGTTCTGTCCCCTGCTCTGTGCGTGGTCTGGACCAGGAGGCCACTAGGCAATGTTACATTTTCTGGTGGCCACGCTAAAAAAGTAACACACACACACACAACAAAATGAGAACTTGAAAAATTCTACTTGAGCCTAAGTAATTTAACTGACCCATGATCAGTTCAACAGGTAATCAATATCTTTCAAAGTAGGAGGCCTGACTGGTTTAGCTCAGTGGATAGATCATCGGCCTGCAGACTGAAGGGTCCCAGGTCCGATTCCGGTCAAGGGCATGTACCTTGGTTGCGGGCACATCCATAGTAGCGGTGTGCAGGAGGCAGCTGATCGATGTTTCTCTCTCATCGATGTTTCTAGTTCTCTATCCCTCTCCCTTCCCCTCAGGAAAAAATCAATAGAATATATTTAAAAAAATAAGAGGAGGAAAGAGATATTTTACACTCTTTGCTTCTTACTAAGGCTCACACATCGGGTGGCGTTACACTCTGATCACACGTCTCCGTGTGGAGTGTGGGCCAGCCCCATTTCAGGCGCCCAGCGGCTCGAGAGCCACGTGACCACCATAGAGGCCCTTGTAGGTCTAGACTCTAGAGGTTCGGACTGTCCATGAACCAGGAGACTTCCCACCGGGACGGCAGGGCAGGAGCCAGACTGACCTAATGAGTTGCTGCTGATCCAATGGGGAACCGAGTTGAGGTGAGAATTTTCTTCATACGGATCTTCTGCCTTTTCCTGGTTCTCTGGAAAACAGACACAGGAGAGGTAAGATGGCAGATCGAGGTTGAAACCACACAAGCAGCGCTGGCCACAGTTGTTCAGTGGTTAGAGTATCAGCGAGGGCACAGAGGGTCGTGGGTTCAATTTCCGGTCAAGGGCACATGCGCGGGTTATAGGTTCAATCCTCAGCCCCGGTCGGGGCATATTTGGGAGGCAACCAATCAATGTGTCTCTCACACATCCATGTCTCTCTCTCTCTCTCTCTCTCTCTCTCTCTCTCCCTCCCTCCCTCCCTCCCTCCCTCCGTCCCTCCGTCCCTCCATCCCACTCTCTTTAAAATCAATGGAAAAATATCCTCAGGTGAAGATTAAAAACAAAACACACCAAAACAACAACAACAACAAAAAGTGGCTTTCTGCATTGCCACTCTATGGTTATTTCAGGATAAGCCATCGCATCTAGTGGTTCCCATTTAATCTGACGGGTCCCAAGATGTTACATCTTTTATAAACCAGAGGCGGCGACTCACTTTTTAACGAGAGAGTTTCCGACATGAATGCCGCCATGGGCCAAGTTAAACTCCCCACGGCCCAATCGGAAAGACCCGATGGTGTGCCGGTCAGCAGGGACGTGGCAGCGAGTCCCCCCGCCCCGGAGGCTGGGGAGGGAGGGGGCGAGGACAGGCTCCCCTCCCGCCTCCAAGAGGCCGCGGCCGCTGTCTGAGGCCCTGAAAGGCCGCCAGGGCGCGGTGAGCAGCCGCTCAGAGAGGGCCACGCAGGGACACACACACGTGCCCGTGGTCTCTGAAAGGGAGAAGGTTTGCGGTTCTGTATGCCTACTCCCTGCAAACACACTAACCACACACACACCCACACACCCATAAACCCAGCCCACGGCCTCCCCGAGCAGTGGTGCAACAGGCCCTCCCCGGAACCTTGCCAGGCCAGGCCTGTCCAAGGTCAGGGGCATGTCGGGGTCATACAGTCACCCCGCCTCGGGGCCACACCGGCAAGGGCTGGGGCAGACGCCCACGGTCTCTGTGCGGCCGGGTCTCTGACAGATGCTGAAACTCGGTGCTCACTTAAACCGGGACTAGCACCCTGAACTCCATTAAGGGGCTGGTTTCCTTCAGGTTTCCGCTGAAGGAGCCCTCACTACGATGTCTTTCTTTCTAACTCAATGTATGTTCGTCAGTGACCTCAAGGTCTGAACCAAGACTTTCTCTCTGTAGGATGACAGTGCTTGGCTGAGTGGCCAGTTATTTTTTATTTATTTATTTTTTTAATATATTTTTATTGATTTCTTACAGAGAGGAAGAGAGAGAGAAAGAGAGCGAGAGAGAGAGCTAGAAACATCGATGAGAGAGAAACATCAATCAGCTGCCTCCTGCACACCCCCTACCAGGGATGTGCCCACAACCAAGGTACATGCCTTTGACTGGAATCGAACCTGGGACGCTTCAGTCCGCAGGCCGACGCTCTATCCACTGAGCCACACCGGTTTTGGCTGAGTGGCCAGTTTTTGTAGAACACATCGGCGTGGAGATCTATCTCAATCACGTCCAAGTTTGTTTAAAAAAAAAATACAATAAAAAAAACTTATTTGCTGGAACCCGTTTGGACTTGGGGAAATCCACAGCACAATCCATGGGGTGTGTCTGAATGAAGGCTCCCCGGTGTGGAGGCTGAGCTCCTCGGTTCGGTTCTGCCAGGGGAGCCTGGCCACGGGGGCGAAGTTTGTGGCCTCTCTGCCTGCGACCCCACATCCTCCCTCCCCGATGCCGCCCAGCGACAGCAAACAAGGCAGTGACCGAGGCTAGGCCATGGGGCCCTGCTCGATGCCACACACACACACACACACACACACACACACACAGGCTAGGCCTTGGGGCCCTGCTTGATGCCACACACACACACACACACACACACACAGGCTAGGCCTTGGGACCCTGCTCGATGCCACACACACACACACACACACACACACAGGCTAGGCCTTGGGGCCCAGCTCGATGCCACACACACACACACACACACACACACACAGGCTAGGCCTTGGGGTCCTGCTTGATGCCACACACACACACACACACACACAGGCTAGGCCTTGGGACCCTGCTCGATGCCACACACACACACACACACACAGGCTAGGCCTTGGGGCCCAGCTCGATGCCACACACACACACACACACACACACACACAGGCTAGGCCTTGGGGCCCTGCTTGATGCCACACACACACACACACACACACACACACACAGGCTAGGCCTTGGGACCCTGCTCGATGCCACACACACACCACACACACACACACACACAGGCTAGGCCTTGGGGCCCAGCTCGATGCCACACACACACACACACACACACACACAGGCTAGGCCTTGGGGTCCTGCTTGATGCCACACACACACACACACACACACAGGCTAGGCCTTGGGGCCCAGCTCGATGCCACACACACACACACACACACACACACACACACACACAGGTAGGCCTTGGGCCCTGCTCGCTGCCACACACACACACCACACACACACACACAACAGGCTAGGCTTGGGGCCCTGCTCGATGTGCCACACACACACCACACACACACAACAGGCTAGGCCTTGGGGCCCTGCTCGCTGCCACACACACACACACACACACACACACACACAGGCTAGGCCTTGGGGCCCTGCTCGATGCCACACACACACACACACACACACACACACACACAGGCTAGGCCTTGGGGCCCTGCTCGATGCCACACACACACACACACACACACACACACAGGCTAGGCCTTGGGGCCCTGCTCGCTCCCACACACACACACACACACACACACACACAGGCTAGGCCTTGGGACCCTGCTCGATGCCACACACACACACACACACACAGGCTAGGCCTTGGGGCCCTGCTCGCTGCCACACACACACACACACACACACACACAGGCTAGGCCTTGGGACCCTGCTCGATGCCACACACACACACACACACACACACACACACACAGGCTAGGCCTTGGGACCCTGCTCGATGCCACACACACACACACACACACACACACACACACACACAGGCTAGGCCTTGGGGCCCTGCTCGCTGCCACACACACACACACACACACACACAGGCTAGGCCTTGGGACCCTGCTCGATGCCACACACACACACACACACACACACACACAGGCTAGGCCTTGGGGCCCTGCTCGATGCCACACACACACACACACACACACACACACACACAGGCTAGGCCTTGGGGCCCTGCTCGATGCACACACACACACACACACACACACACAGGCTAGGGCCTTGGACCCTGCTCGATGCACACACACCACACACACACAGGCTAGGCCTTGGGACCCTGCTCGATGCCACACCACACACACAACACACACACACAGGCTAGGCCTTGGGACCCTGCTCGATGCCACACACACACACACACACACACACACACAGGCTAGGCCTTGGGACCCTGCTCGATGCCACACACACACACACACACACACACACACACAGGCTAGGCCTTGGGGCCCTGCTCGATGCCACACACACACACACACACACACACACACAGGCTAGGCCTTGGGGCCCTGCTCGATGCCAGCCACACACACACACACACACACACACAGGCTAGGCCTTGGGACCCTGCTCGATGCCACACACACACACACACACACACACACAGGCTAGGCCTTGGGACCCTGCTCGATGCCACACACACACACACACACACACACACAGGCTAGGCCTTGGGGCCCTGCTCGCTGCCACACACACACACACACACACACACACACAGGCTAGGCCTTGGGGCCCTGCTCGCTGCCACACACACACACACACACACACACACACAGGCTAGGCCTTGGGGCCCTGCTCGATGCCAGCCACACACACACACACACACACACACAGGCTAGGCCTTGGGACCCTGCTCGATGCCACACACACACACACACACACACACACAGGCTAGGCCTTGGGACCCTGCTCGCTGCCACACACACACACACACACACACACACACAGGCTAGGCCTTGGGGCCCTGCTCGCTGCCACACACACACACACACACACACACACACACACAGGCTAGGCCATGGGGCCCTGCTCGATGCCACACACACACACACACACACACACACACACACAGGCTAGGCCTTGGGACCCTGCTCGATGCCACACACACACACACACACACACACACACAGGCTAGGCCTTGGGGCCCTGCTCGCTGCCACACACACACACACACACACACACACACAGGCTAGGCCTTGGGGCCCTGCTCGATGCCACACACACACACACACACACACACACACACAGGCTAGGCCTTGGGACCCTGCTCGATGCCACACACACACACACACACAGGCTAGGCCTTGGGACCCTGCTCGATGCCACACACACACACACACACAGGCTAGGCCTTGGGACCCTGCTAGATGCCACACACACACACACACACACACACACACACAGGCTAGGCCTTGGGACCCTGCTCGATGCCACACACACACACACACACACACACACACACACAGGCTAGGCCTTGGGACCCTGCTCGATGCCACACACACACACACACACACACACACAGGCTAGGCCTTGGGGCCCTGCTCGATGCCACACACACACACACACACACACACACACAGGCTAGGCCTTGGGGCCCTGCTCGATGCCAGCCACACACACACACACACACACACACAGGCTAGGCCTTGGGACCCTGCTCGATGCCACACACACACACACACACACACACACAGGCTAGGCCTTGGGACCCTGCTCGATGCCACACACACACACACACACACACACACACAGGCTAGGCCTTGGGGCCCTGCTCGCTGCCACACACACACACACACACACACACACACACGCTAGGCCTTGGGGCCCTGCTCGCTGCCACACACACACACACACACACACACACACACACACAGGCTAGGCCTTGGGACCCTGCTCGATGCCACACACACACACACACACACACACACACAGGCTAGGCCTTGGGGCCCTGCTCGATGCCAGCCACACACACACACACACACACAGGCTAGGCCTTGGGGCCCTGCTCGATGCCAGCCACACACACACACACACACACACACAGGCTAGGCCTTGGGGCCCTGCTCGCTGCCACACACACACACACACACACACACACACACACACAGGCTAGGCCTTGGGGCCCTGCTCGCTGCCACACACACACACACACACACACACACACAGGCTAGGCCTTGGGGCCCTGCTCGATGCCACACACACACACACACACACACACACACACAGGCTAGGCCTTGGGGCCCTGCTCGCTGCCACACACACACACACACACACACACACACACACAGAGGTGGATTCAAATCCGTCGTCACCGCACATGAGTCACGCCGGTGGCGTTTGCAGGCGCCCACCCCACCAGAAGCTCCGGCCGCGGCCGCACGCCCCCGCCCACGCGGGCACCTTTGATCAGCTGCTCCAGGTGCTCCCAGAGGATGTCGCCCACGAAGTCGGGCGCCAGCTCCAGGAAGCGCTCCTTGCCCAGGTTGCACAGCACCTGGCCGTTCATGCCGAACCTCTGCAGGTTCACGTTCACCAGGCTGAACTCGTTGGTGGCCCAGAGCAGCCACTGGCACACCTGCTGCTCCGTCCACAGCCAGGGGTCTGCGGGGACACACACGGGGGGAGATGGAAGGAGGCGGTGAGACCGGGGAAGTCGCTCCTGGTGTTCCCACCGCGTCCACCCGGGCACCGAGGACCAGCGGCGTGAGCGAGACCCCCGGGGGACCTCTGAGACACGGGCAACAGCGGCCGGCTGACGGGGTTGGGATAAAAACTGGCTCGGCTTCACCCCGTCTCTGCCACCCTCTGGGAGCCGCCTGAAGATACAACCATCGCGTGCCAGGGCAGCCAGGCTTGCCTGTCCAGGGGCACAGACCCCGCCCGGCGGCTCGACGGAGGCACTTACTCTTGGGGATGCCCAGCCGGCGCTGCTCCTTCTGGAAGCCGCTGAAGGTGGCCTTCAGGGCCTGGCTCATCACTGCCTTGCTGCAGGGCGTGAGCAGCGGCAGCTCGCAGCTGGCCGCGTCTGCGGAGAAACCGGGCAGGTGGATGGACGTTAGGATTGCGAGCTGGCGACCGCGGAGGGGCATTTAGGGTGAGGTGACCAGACGTCCTGATCTTTAACAATTTGTCCCGCGGTGTTTTAAAAAAGTCAGGACTTTTTTAAAACACCGCGCGGGGCAAATTGTTAGAAACTGGGACTGTCCAGCCAAAAGCGGGACATCTGGTCACCTTAATTTAGGGGAGACATCGTAGTTTTTAGCCAAGGACCATTTTGATCTCACACCTGGACATAATTCCTTAAAGGAGTATAACTAGTACCCTAAACTTTTTTTTTTTTTTGACTGAAATTAATAAATAAACACTCCATCACATCACTTATTAGAAAAAAACTCAAGTTGTAGCTTATGACCCAGTACTTCCCACAGCAGCCTCTGTGGAGATAAAAATGTCTAGCTGTAAATACTGTAGACAGTCCAAGGGAAGTGCATGATTTTGGGGCCAAAGGATCATCAGATGCATCATCTGGAAGCCGAGTCCATGAAACTCCGCCACAGGCAGACGCCCTCCGCCCCGTGACGCTGGCACACGTTCCACGTTTATTGAGAAACAAAACAGTCTTCCCCGGATCCCCTCGGCGATTTCAAGAATGATAAACGGCCGTCACGTGATGGCACGCTGACGCCAGCGCATCGGCTTTCATTGATTCTCTGGGCTGCGTCTCCCAGCGCCTACTCCGTGTGACACAGTCACGCCTGGGATGTTTCCAGCTAACGACCATGCCGGCCACGGTAGAGGCGCCGCTGGCCTGCCGTCTGTCTGTCCGTCCGCTAGAGAGAATGGACGGCGGCTCGAAGGAGCACAGCGGTCCATGCAGACGGGGAAGACCAGCCAGAGTCCCCTGTGGCCCCAAGCCCCGGGGGAGGATCCAGCCCAGGGGTCGGCAAACTCCTCAGTCCACAGCCAAACATCAACAGGACAACAATTGAAATTCCTTCTGAGAGCCACATTTTTTAAACTTAAACTTCTTCTAACGCCACTTCTTCAAAACAGACTTGCCCAGGCCGTGGTCTTTGTGGAAGAGCCACACTCCAGGGGCCAAAGAGCCGCCTGTGGCTCTCGAGCCGCGGTTTGCCGACCACGGGTCTAAGAGAACCCAGCATGAAAGCGGAGATGCATCTGACTGTGGCCTGGTCTGCTCTGGGGTGGCCCCGGAGGAGCCGTGGGGGTGACACCCCCAGGCAGAAACCTCGGGGTCCCCTGGGGTGTGCCAGGGGCGGGACATCGGCTCTCCCTGGGGTGCGTCTGGCAGGGAAGACCCAGAACCATCGCACTCAGCAAAGGGGAGACGGCCCTGCCCAGGTCCGGAGCCTCCATCCGACCATTCACACGGAGACTCGAGACCCCACACCCCTGGCCCATCCGCCGCCCCCTCCGTGCCCCCCCCCCCCCCGGGTCCTCTGGGTGCAGTTTACCATGAGAGATGGAGTCCAAGCCCGTGGGCACTTCCTGGAGAGCCTGCTTCTCGTTCAGGGAGGGGAAGATGGCAAACAGGGACCCGTCGAAGGTGTCGAAGGCCGGCTGGCGCTGCAGGGGGGACAGAGAGAAAACGGGGAGTTTAGTCTTTACTTCTGGAGCCACCTGTCTGGTCCCTGGGTCATCGGATAAAACCAGCCACTGTGTACGCTCCCCTGGAGCGGACCCGTCGTGCCCAGACTCCTAGGGAGGCCCACAGGTCATCGAATCCCCCTCACACGGAGGCCGAAAGGCTGGGGATGTGTGTCTAAGGGCTCGGTCCACTGGGGTTAATGAATTAAGTACAGACACCCAGAAATACGAGGATCCCAGAATGGTGCTGGGGGGCGGGGCCTCAGAGCCACCTGCCCCCAGCACCTGCCTTCCTGTGACATCATCGGGGAGCCAGGCAGCCAGCGGGTCTGCGGGGAATGAGCTCAGCAAGGCTGCTGTTTTGAAATGTTTACGATGAAAACACTTTAACCGCAACGGGTGCTTTTCCTCAACCATCCCAACGGCCCAGGGAAGAGGGAAACACGCCAAGCTCCCGCAGGGTCCCCATCCTAAAAGTAAAGCGGATTAGCCAAAGCCGGTGTGGGTCAGTGGGTAGAGCGTCAGCCTGCGGACTGAAAGGTCCCAGGTTCGATTCCGGTCAGGGACAAGTATCTTGGTTGTGAGCACATCCCCAGTAGAAGGTGTGCAGGAGGCAGCTGATTGATGTTTCTCTCTCATCCATGTTTCTAGCTCTCTATTTCTCCCCCTTCCTCTTTGTAAAAGATCAATAAAATGTATATTTTTTTAAAAGTAAAGCAGGTTAGAGAGAACTCCCCGGTCCCACACTCCCTGGGGGGACAGATCCCAAAGGGAACCGCTTTAAAGTTACACGCATGCCCGCGGCGGGGAAGGCGAGGAGAGAGACACACAGAAAACTTCTCGCCCATTTCCGACCCCCATCGAAGATTCAGCCACGCTGGAGCCTTGGCGGCCGGAGCGGTTAATAAGTGACAGCGAAGGCCTCGGTTCCTCACTGCCCAGCCGGCCCAGGGAAAAATGGTAAAGAAAGAGTACTTTCCCAGCTGGGCTGGGGCTCCCGCGCTGTGTGTCACAGGATGACACACGCGTTGAGTCATCGGTAAGACAATGTGTAACTCATTTACAAATAAAATCGGCTCATGTGCTTTCGTTTTAGAAATACAGAACCGAGGATGACACATCACCCCTGTGGGCGGGCAGAGGGGGGAGCTGGCCCCAAACACTCCACGCACCCCGTCCCCCCAAAGCCCAAGGCGGTGAGGGCCATCAGGCGTGCTGAGACAGAGGGAGCGAGCCCTCGGGAAGCGCTGGAGCACCCGTGCAGTGGATTAAGAAGCCACGGTATCGCTTTGGACTGACTGTGCGTAAAATAGCCAGCTGACTTTTTTTTTTTTTTTTTTGAATTCTTAGATATATTTTATTGATTTTTTGCAGAGAGGAAGGGAGAGGGATAGAGAGAAACATCGATGAGAGAGAGACATCGATCAGCTGCCTCCTGCACACCCCCCACTGGGGATGTGCCCGCAACCAAGGTACATGTCCTTGACCGGAATCGAGCCTGGGACCTTTCAGTCCCCAAGCCGACGCTCTACCCACTGAGCCACACCGGTTAGGGCTAGCCAATGTTGTTTGAAAACCCCCACTCGCTCTGCCCAGCTGACTAAGAAATGCCTTCGCTTCACTGACAGCACGTTCTTTTTTTAAAACGAGGAAGTGCAGAGACAACACCAATCCACGCCACCCATCTCCGCACGTCCGCTCCGGGGACCGCTGCGCCCAGCCCAGGGGTCGCAGGGACACCATCGGACTCCCTGGATTCACAGGGGATGTTTCTTTTCTTTTCTTTTTTCTTTCTTTCTTTCTTTCTTTCTTTCTTTCTTTCTTTCTTGATTTTTTTTTCTTTTTTTACAGAGAGGGAGGGAGAGGGATAGAGAGTCAGAAACATCGATGAGAGAGAAACATCGATCAGCTGCCTCCTGCACACCCCCCTACTGGGGATGTGCCCACAACCAAGGTACATGCCCTTGACCGGAATCAAACCCGGGACCTTTCAGTCCGCAGGCCGACGCTCTATCCACTGAGCCACACCGGTCAGGGCCAGGAAGTTTCTTTTCAAGGGTTGTGCCTTGCAACTTGGTGCCGCCACAGCTGGCCCGCATCCGAATAGTCTGACCACACTGACAAGTAACGCCCCGTCGGCCGCCATCACACTGAAGGGAGGCCCGAGCCCAATTCTGGCTCTTTGGGCTCCACAGACAAATGACCTCCCAGGGGCCTCGAGGAACCGGGGCCCGCAGGAGCCACGCGTTGGCACAAGGCCCCGAGCTCCGAGGAGGCCGATCGAAAACCGCTGCTCCCGCCCGAGGCGTGTGGGCCACACACAGGGAACAGCGTCAGGTCACGCTCTCCCGGACGGGGAGGCCGACGGGGCCCTGCCCGCTGAGCCGCCCCGGGACGTTCCCCCGAGGAATGAAGACAGAAGCAGCACTCCCTCCGCGTCTGAGGCCGCCTTCCCCTCGTCCCCGGGAACCCAGCTCCCGCTCCGTCTGAGGCTGCCTTCCCCTCGTCCCCGGAACCCAGCTCCCGCTCCGTCCCAGCTCCGTCCCACCGAGAGAACCAGAGGCTCATTATCCACCCACCGGGCGGGGTCTCAGAAACAAACCCCCAGGGCCTCGCCCTCTACAGAAGCAGCAGCTCCGGTCTCCGAGGACAAGCGGCGCAAGCATCAGGATGCCCATTTCACAGATCAGAACACTGAGGCCCGGGGAGATCCAGCACACAGTCCAGAGTCACACAGCCGAGAAGTTAGATACTGGGGCTTAGAACAGGTCCTCGGACCCCACCCACTGTTTTCTGTTTGTTTGTTTTTTCTTCTTCTTCTAGAAATTGAGCTTAAAAAAAACAACAACAAAAAACACCCAACTTTTAGTGGTCACTCACCTTGAGCGTCCCTCTGTAACTGTTAGCCACAGGGGCCACCTGGTCCATGTTCTTGATTCCAAAGTCATTCATCTAAAAAGAAAAAAAAAGAAAAAAGAGAAAGAGGGAAATAGTCAGAGGCAAGCACTCCTTTCATAAGGCGTCTTCCCTGGCAGACCTCCCCCTCCCCTCCCGAGTCAGTCAAATTCTACAGCGTAAAAAGTCCCTCAGTAAAAGCACTCAGAACCGAGCGCCAGGGATTCTTATTTCTTTATTTTAAAATATATCTTATTGATTTTTCACAGAGAGGAAGGGAGAGGGACAGAGAGCTAGAAACACTGAGAGAGAAACATCGACCAGCTGCCTCCTGCACACCTCCCACAGCGGATGTGCCCGCAACCAAGGTACATGCCCTTGGCCGGAATCGAACCTGGGACCCTTCAGTCCGCAGGCAGATGCTCCATCCACTGAGCCAAACCGGTTTTGGCAGGGATTCTTATTTAAAAGGCCCTTCTCACGAAGGCTGCGATGCTATTGCAGGCGCTCAATGATAACTCGGGTCCCACGGATTCTGCTTAGAGACGTGGCACCCGGATAGAGGCGCTCGCTCTCCGGGGGCTAGACTTCCAAGGCAGCCCGTGTCCCTCCCCGGAGGGGCTGCTGTTCGAGGGGAGGGCGTGGGGAGACCCAGAGGGGTGCCAGGGGACCATGGCTACCTCCTCTCTGCAAGGGGGCATCCTCAAGGGTGACCCCCCCCCCCCAGGCATATCCAGACCTGGGAAAGCATGCTGGGTGGGGCCCGAGGCCCCTTCCTCTCATGGGAGGGAGCTCTGGAAGATCAAAGGGAACAGTGGCTTCACACCAAACCCTCTCAGGTCCCCCCTCCTCCCCGATCCTCCCCCAGGTCCTCGGACCCAGGTCCTCCCGTGCTCCACACAGGGCCCAAACATGTTAGCTCTGAGTCGCTCAGCTGTGCTCGCCCTCAGAGGAGATTCCAAGCAAGGATCTGCCTCACTTGCCCTGACAGCACCTGGGCTTAGATGGACCTGCGCTGCCCAGGGGGTGGCCACCAGCCACGTGTGGGGGCCGGGCGGCTGGCACGTGGCGGGGAGAGCCCAGGATGCGCTTTACACGTCACATACACACGAAGGTTTCCAAGATCTCACAGGAAAAAAATAAACGATCCCAGCATGAATGTTAGGTTTACTGCGTGTGTATGGAGCCGCTTGAATGTATTTGGCGAATGGAAATATACTGAGATCCAGTTCACCTATTTTGTATACTGAACGTGACTGTGACAGCACTGATAGTTACACATGTGACTTGCAATTGAACCTTGCTGGGATAGTACGAGAACGGACTGGGGCCCTAAACTGCAACTGGCGGGTTATATATTAGAAAGGGAGAAGGGTACACAGATAATGCCACCAGGATGCTGGAGACGAGAAACGAAAACGAAAATTCGTTTTCAAATAAGCTGGGTTAGCAGAGCTGAGAGTAACCTTTACCCTACTGGCCCTCTGGCCGGGAACGGAAGGCTTATGGAAGGAAGGCTTACGAGGCAGCTTTAGGGTTGGCAGCTTTAGGGTTGGCAGCTTTAGGGTTGGCTGATGGCACCCTCCCGCCCCGCCCATCTCCACTGGGCGTTCCAGCGAAGGCCTTCGAGTAATTAAAATATTGCTTCAAACGTTGCGCAACTGATAATAGCGCTTACGGGAGGTGGCGGGAGCATATTTTCCCCTAATTGGTTTTTTTTGTGCTTTCTTGTTTTATCTTTACGATCAATGTTATAGCTGAACCAGACCTCCCAACCACACACACACACACACACACACACACACACACAGGAATGCACACACTCCTCTCCTGGCTGGAATGGCGGCGTGGGAGGGAGGTGAGTGCCTCAGGGGAGGCCAGAGGCCCTGCAGAGGCTGTTAAACCCTCGAACCCTCTGATGGGGGGGGGGGGCAGAGGAGCCTGCGGCACTGGGAGCAATAATGGTTCTGTGGGGGGAGGGGCTGTCCCGGATCAAACGCGGCCACATGTGCTCAGCCTCCACTGGGTGAGCCTGTGCCACCCGCACGTGCTCAGGAACCAACATTCCTGCAACGGTGGCTGCACGGACGGCCCCCCTGGCCCAGGGCCGGGCCTGCCATCCCGGAGGGTGGATGTGACCCAGGGCGGCCCAGGGGCCTCCGGGAGACGGCGGGGGCTTCTCGGGGGCGCAGTGCGGACCACATGGCGGCGGGATAACCGGAGCGCCTCCAGGTGCCGGGATAGCCTGGGCCTCCTCCCCCGAAGTCCTACAGAGCAGCCAGCACCCGGATGCCATGAGCCGGGCCCCTGCATGCTCCTCTTTACGGGGGAGAAAAAGGCTCCTTCACGCCCAGCTCTCTGTCACGTGTCTGAATGGGGACCTGTTGATTACATACACAAGCCGCACACAGGAGACCAAACTGCCAATTACCCGCCCAGGCCGCCTCCTCCTCCTCGGCCCGGTGACTTGGGAAATGGAGAAGGAGGGCCCACCTTCGCCGAGCGGCAGAGAATGGATGCGGAAGGCGGTGGGAAGGCCCGGCCGGGGTTTGTGTACAAATACCGGGAGAAAAGGCAGGCAGTCTGCCCGCCCACGGAAAGGGCTGCAAGGACTCCTTACAGAACAGAATTCTTTGTTGTCCAGCTTTTAATGTGTTCTGTAAGAACCAGGCAGCATCAACGTGGGTTCGGGCAGACACAGAACTACTCAGGTTTAAGTTCACTTCTTTTACTCAACATGGCTCCTCAGGGTGGCAGACAGGCCGAGAGCCCGCTCCACGTAAACCAACCTCAATTTCAAGTGCGGGTCCTTTTGGTGCTGCCCTTTGGGTCGCCGCTTGGAGAGAGGGGGGAGGGAGGGGGGGAAGGAAGGAGGGAGGGAGGGAGGGAGAGAGGGAGAGAGAGGGGGGGGTTAAGGAGGGAGAGAGGGGGGGGGAAGGAGAGAGAGAGAGGAATGAGAGAGAAAGAAGAGAGAAAGAAGGGAGGAAGGAAGGAAGGTAAAGCAGAGGCAGACATGTAAGTGCTGAAGACGGCTCCATTTTTAAAACAAGCAGCACTTGCCTGACACCCGTGCCCCTTCTGGGAACCGGTGATCCCTTCTGTGAGCGCAGACCACAGGCTTGCGTGTAGGCCAATTTGGAAAGAAAGAGAAAGGAGCTCCCCGCTCCCCCGCCCCCATCCCCATCCTCATCCCCAATGTACTGGTGAAGGTTGGTGCGCCTTTTCCTCTGAAAGCTGCCACTTCGGGGAGAGGAATGACTAACCCCGCAGTGAGTGTGCGCTGCTCCCTGCGGGACCCGCGGTGCTCCGTACACTGCGCTGTGCTCTCACTCAGCGTTTAATAAACCTTAACTGGGAGATGGATCTGCTGATGGTGGCGGGCGGCGGGCAGATGGCCCGGGCGCTGCCATTGTCGGAACGCACACCACCCCGGAGTGGCCACGGGCCGGCAATTACCCTTATCTCCCAGGGGACCGCTCAGCCTCACTTTCTAACCAGGAGAGCACCACTGTTTAAGATGCCTTGAAAGCGAATCCAGGCCAATGTACAAAGTCTCTTATGCTTAAAAAAATAACCCCAGAAACCCAAACAACCCTCAAATGCACAAACGCTCGCTGAAACCTTCATTAAAAATAAAGACAGCCCCGCGCCCCCGGGTCCCCTTCCCCACCAGCTCCGGGCGCGCCCCGCAGGCCCGGGCCCCCTCCATCCATCCATCCCTCCATCCATCCCTCCCTCCCGGGCGCCGCCCTCGGGGTCTCGCCCTCCGGGCCGGCCCCGCGGGCCTCCCCGCCGGCTGCCGGCCCGGGCCCGGCCGTGGCCGCGCAGGTGACCCGGCCCCGCGCTCCCGGGGCCGCGGCCCCAGGTGTTGGGGAGGCGGGCGCCCCGGGAAGCCACCCGCAAACCGGGGCGCCGGGGTCCCCATCCTGAGTCCTTCCTGCCCCTCCGCGGAGTCAGATCGCCGGCGGCCCGGCAGGAGCCCCCACAGGCCCCGATTCCCTTAAAAACAAAAGCAAAGCGAGCGGAACCAGCCGGCGCGCTCCCGCCCCGGGGGATCGGCCACCCGGGCGCCGCGGCCCGAGTTCGCCCCGGCCCCGCGCGTCCCGCCCGGCCCTCCGTCCCCGTCCCCGTCCCCGTCCCGGCCCGGCCCCGCGTCCCGGCCGCCCCCCAGAACCCCCCGGCCCCCCAGCCCCCGGCCCCGGGGCCCGGAGAGCACGGAGCCAGGCGCGCGGCGCCGGGCCCTGGAGTCGCCGCCACCCGCCCGGACCCCGGCGCTCGGCCCGCCGCTGCGCCCCCAGCCCGGGCTCCGAACCCCCGGAGAGCGGCCGGGGCCGGGGCCGGAGCCGGGGCCGGAGCCGGGGCCGCAGCCGGAGCCGGAGCCGCTCCGCACGGCGCCCACCCCGCGCCCGCCCGCCGCCCGGCTCTTACCGCGCCGCTTCGGGCAGGGCCGGCGGCTCGGCGGCCCGGGCTCCGGGGGTCCTCGGGGGGGTCCTCGGGGGGCGCGGGGGGCTCGGCGGCCCGGGCTCCGGGGGTCCTCGGGGGGCGCGGGGGGCTCGGCGGCCCGGGCTCCGGGGGTCCTCGGGGAGGCGGGCGGGGCGGGCGGAGGCGGGCGGAGGCGCGCAGGGGCGGACGGGCTCCGGCTCGGGCTGGGCTCCTCTGCACCCGCTCGGCCGGCGGAGGAAGTAACCGGCCGGCCCTCCGCGGCCGGCTCTTCAGGATCCGGGCGGGGCGGGGGGAGGGGGCCGGACCGGGAGGAGGCGGGGCGGAGGGCGGGGCGGAGGGGAGGGGAGGGGAGGGGAGAGAGGGGAGCCGGCCTGGCAGGACGGAGCGGGGCTGTCTGGGGGACCTCGCCGGCACCCGCGGTCCCCGCTGCGCCGCGCCAGGTGGTGCCCGGGAGGGGAGGGGAGCGGGGCGGAGAGCCCCCCATTGGTGTCCCCCCCGTGGGTGTCCCCTCCCATGAGTGTCCTCCTCCCATGGGTGCCCCCCCATTGGTGTCCTCCCCCATGGGTGTCCTCCCCCCATGGGTGCCCCCCCATTGGTGTCCTCCCCCCATGGGTGTCCTCCCCCCATTGGTGTCCTCCCCCCATGGGTGCCCCCCCCCATTGGTGTCCTCCCCCCATGGGTGTCTTCCCCCATTGGTGTCCTCCCTCCATGGGTGCCCCCCCATTGGTGTTCCCCCTCGGCCTCTCGTCCCGCGGATCTGGCCTCAAACCGCCCCTCCCGATCGGCAGGAGCGGGGCGCCGGGGCCAGGGGACCGCGCGGCTGCGGGACGTGGCTAATGGAGGGCCCGTTCTCGGACCTCTAACCAGACCTTTAATGTCTGCCATTCCTGTCCCGGAAAGGAGATGGTGAGCGGACCCCGGGCTGGGCGCTGAGGCCGCCCGGCGCCCGGGAGCCCGTCGCCTCCGTGTCCGTGGCGCCCCCTAGAGTCGAGCGGGGCCTTGAGAGTCACCCCGGGAGCGTCTCGGGGCGGAGGCGCAGGACCGTTCTCCCCGCACCACGGCCCCCTCCCCCCCTAACAAGAGGGGGTCGGACCCCCCCCCCCCCCACAGGAGGGGATCGGCCGGAGGGTAAGGAACTCCCACTCGTGGTCAGAGCCATCACCCACACTCTGCCAGCTCCGTCTTCAGCAGAAAATGCTTGCGTCGGTGGCTAGAAATGTGTGCATTTCCTATGCAAATTCCTGTCAAAGAGTGTCAGTGTTTGGGAGGACAATTAGCTGGACACAAAATAAAACCGCCCAGCTTAGGCGAGGCTATGGGGCTTAAAAAATGGATGCATCCCAGGGACCCAGGGCCACGAAGGCAGAGGAACGGCCTCCCTCCTCTGTTACCAAGGCTCCCGGTCTCCATGGCAACCCTACATCCGGCGTTATGGGGATAATTGAGATACTACCGGTCTCCAGGGAGGGTCTCCGGGCACCATCACTGCGCCGCTGCGGCTCAGCGGCAGGGTCTCCCCGGCGCAGACAGCCGGGTGCGGAGGGCACACCGAGTCCATCCCGGTGGCTTCTCTGTGTAGAGTCAGGCCCCGTCAGCAGTCATAGATGATGGGTCCAGAAGAGTTTCATAAACGGAATTACAGATTCACGGTGAGTTACCATGGAGACACGGAGAGTATGTGACTCTTTATTTTTTAATGGTAGCAGAAATTACCGACTCATCTGGGCTTCAGTTTTAGCTGATGGGGGGGGGGGGGGGTTCCCCCACTCCAGGCTCCTCACTCAGCCCTTAGTATTGTCTGGGAAGCTGAGTGCCCACAGCCATGGGGTCAAGTTCAGTCGCCCAAGGAAACTGCCTGTTCCTTTCACTGGTGTGCAGTGTGGGGTGCTCAGGGCTGAGTCACTGAGGTCCAGGGACTTGGGGAAGACACGGTTTCTCCTTGAGGCTCTGGTGCAGAAGGAGGGCTGTGAGGGGGCAGGAGGGGCGTTTTGCTCCCCCTGGGCCATTTCCAACATATCTGAGCAGAAAGATATGGCTTGTGGTGGTTTGCGGGCAGTCCCTCCCTGACAGCCCATTTTCTTCTGCTCTCACTGTTAAACCTTGTGCTCCTCTCCTGCAGAAGTGTGGTGGGCAGTCAGACAGACAGACAGGAGCAGAGCAAGGACGACGGGCCAGGGACAGTAGGTCACCAGGGCAGAAAGGCCTGGGTGCCCAGCAAAGGGCACCTGTAGGGTGGGGCCTCGTCCCCAGGGTGGCCTGTCCTCCCCTAGCATCTGGAGGCCCTGCCCTTTGGACCCCTGGCCTTTCCTCTCCAAAGATAGCATCCGGGCCTCCGTTGTCTGTCAGCTCCAGGCCCAGAAAAGCAGCCAAACCAGACCAGCGACCCCGTGGCTGCCCCAGCACCAGCTGCATCGGCTAAGGACCCTTGCCCTGGTGCCGACCAATCAGTCAGTGGCCATCACAGCTCTGACAGAACACACCTGGAAAGCTGCCCAATGTTCTATTAGGATCTCCTAGGACCTCCGCTCAAATCTCCACCCTTAAAACCCTAGGACTGGGGACCCAGTGTGCTTGCTCTCCCTCCTCGGAGCCACAGAGCCTTTCCCGTTTCCTGTTCCCTCCCCATACCACCCCTCCCCCCCCCCAAGGCTTGTCACCATTGTCATCATCTTCCTTACTCCCCAGCTCCCAGTCTCTTCCTTTACCTCATAACTCGTTTCCTCAGCCCATATCTTCCACAACTTACTTCCTCTGCCTCTGTGACTTTACAAATAAACATTCTCTTGAAAGTGAGTCTCGACTCTGAATTCTTTCCCAGCCAGAACCCAGGTCCCGAGTTGCTGACTGAGGCCAGGCCCAGTAGGACCCTGTGGGTCTCAGACCCGGTGCCATCCGCGCCACCTACAAGGGAAGAACAGATGCTTCTGGAACCGACGTCATCAGGCTGGGCTGGACACTGGACACAGAGACAAGCAGGTCAAGAATGTTTCAGGGCTGAGCACATGGTAGAGAGGCTCAAAATGACCTGGCTATTAAGTTCCTTTTTCACACTCTCCTCTGAGAGCAGGGGGGTGGTGGGGGGTGGGGGGTGGGGGGGGGGGACGCGTGCGCTCTGAAGGCCAAATGTCTAGGATAGGGGTGTCGAACTCAATCAGAGAAGGGGCCAAAATCTAAAATCCAGCCTAAATCGCGGGCCGAATGGTTTACTGAACAGTCATAAACTGTCATTGTGATGGAAACGCAGCGGAGTGCAGTGATGACAGCGCGGTGCGGGCCACATTGCAAGGCCTGGCGGGACGGATTTGGCCCACGGGCCTTGTGTTTGACACATTTGGGATAGAGCATCTGCCTGCGGGCTGAAGGGTCCCAGGTTTGATTCTGGTCAAGGGCATGTACCTTGGTTGCAGGTCTGATCGCCAGCCCTGCTTGGGGCATGTGTAGGAGGCAACCAATCGATGTGTCTCTCTCACATGAATGTTTCTGTCTTTCCCCCTCCCTTCCACTCTCTCTACAAATCAATGAAAAAAAATATCTTTGGGTGATGATTAATTAAACACACACACACACACTTGTCCCTACCCTCTCCGGGGTAAGTGTGCGAAACCCTATTGAAACGATGGGATCGGAGCACAAATGGTACAGGAGGCTGGGGGAGGGAGGGGGGTAGGGGAGAGGGAGCCCAGGTCATACCACCTTGGACCCTTTTCTCCCTCCCAGGCCCCTGCCACACCCCAGTCCCTCATCCAGCCAGCACCCATGTCCTGGGCCCTGCACTGTGGCCAATCCCCTCCGCGCCTGGTGAGTGGGGGGGTCGCAGGGTCATAATAAATGGCTTATCCTGGTTCCGGGGGCGAGCAGGCTTCCTAACATCTTCCACCTTTCTGCTATTAGCTGGTTTCCTAGTTACTCAGCTGAACTAAGGCCCGGGCCTGGCTGAAGCCCATGATTACTCATTGACTATTATGGCTTAATTTGCCCAGCTTCGCAGTAAATCAAACCTCATAAAAGTCCGGTCCTTGTGCTTCCAGATCAAAAGTCGAAGGTGTTAAGGAGGAAATTAACAGTCAGAAGTCGCACGGGCTGGCATGATCGGAGGCACCGTGTCAGCTGAGCGTGGGGCGGCCTCTTTTCCCTTGGAGAGAAGGGGGCAGGGGGTGGCGGGGGGTGGGGAGGGGTGGTGGGGGACGCGCGCGCGCGCGCGCGCGCGGTCTGAAGGCCAAATGTCTAGGAAGTAATTGCAGATAAAGAGCTCTTTAAAGTCCAGACGGAATTATTAAAACGATTAGCTTTTCAAGTCATCCCTCAAAAAACAGAAAATCAGTAAAAAACGTTTCCTTAGAGACATGTCTGTCTCCCTTGGAATCCAGCTCCACAGTCCACATGCAGTTGGGGGTGGCTTCCTGTGCCAGCTACACAGACGTCATTGGTCTGAGAGGCCTTATGCGTTCACTCCGCAAACAGTGTCACCTGCTGAGAAGACAGAGGAGTAAGGCTCAGAGCAAGAAAGAATGGCATTCGTGCTTATTTGCACCTGTGTTGGCTTTGCTGACCACCAGCGCGCCCCCCCCCCCCCCCCCCCCCGCCGGTTGGGGATTAGAGGTAGCAGTTATTCTACTGATACTTGTTAGGGTCAAGGAATGGATAAAGTAAAGCTTTATACCACCCCCATCCCCCACCCCTTCACCCCATCTCTACCTCTCACTTCCGAGTGTACCTACAACAGGTCTAATACCCACCTGGCCCTCCACTTCACGCCCATTTGTAGGCTGCCATGGAGACCAGGAACCTCAGCTGACCTGGGGTCACCCAGCAGCCTCCCAGCCCCCCAGCAGGGTGGTCCCAAACTGGGCAGGAGCAAGCAGATCTACCCAGGAGGTCACGGTTTGATCCCTAGTCAGGGCACATGCCCGGGTTGCAGGCTCCATCCCAATGGCGGCGGGCAGGAGGCAGCTGATCCAAGATTCTCTTTCATCATTGATGTCTCTATCTCTCTCTCCCCGTTTCCCTTCCTCTCTGAAATCAATACAAATATATCAATCAATAAATACAATTCCCGGGAACAGCGCACTAATGTGGGACTCTCCCGGAAGTCCGTACCTTTTCCTAAGGTCCCACTGGACTGGACCGCAGCCCCGTTTATCCCCCAGGCTCCCTGCGGGCACAAACACGTATTAAGGACGGAGCCTCTAATCTGAACCTGTGGAGGGCAGCTGTGCGAGCCGATGTCAAATCCCCGCTCAGCCTTTCACTCGCCCTGCCCCTGGGCACCCCTGGGCAAGGCGCTGAGCCTCTCTGGGCCTCAGTTTCCTTCCCTGTCAACTTTGCATAACAACAGTGCTTTGGGCCGGCCCAGCTGCGGGTGAAGTGAGTTAATGATCCTTAAGCGCTTAGAACAATGCCCGGGATCCTCAGGCCCAGGGTGTGATGAATAAGCGGCCCCTGACTGCGAGGAACCCCTTCAGACAGGATTTTGGTGGGAGGTCCTTCACTACAACTCTCTTGGCCTTTGGTCAAATTACAGCGGGGAGGGGAGGAAGATCTGGGGGAGATAATAGATCAACCGAAGGACTTGTGTACATGCATATAAGTACAACCAATGGACATAAAACTCTGGGGAAGGAGGGTATGTATGGGAGGGAGGGAGGGAGGGGGGCAAAAAAATCAATAAAATATATTAAAAAATAAATAAATAAAAATAAAATTTGGAAAAAAAAAAAAAGACGGGCTGGGGGGATGGGAGGGTGGACGGTGGGGGATGGGCGGGGCATGAATTTTAAAACTGGAAGACGCTTTAGTTGGCAAGTGAGACCAGCTCCTGTTTGTATAAGGAACCTGAGGCCTCAGGAGGCCCCATCTTTCCCCACGGCCTCGGGGGTCCCTCCTGGCCGGCCAGCCGGGACCACAGTCCTCCCCGGCAGCCATTTGCCCTTATAAGGCAGCACCCGGAGTAGCCACAGGGCCGTCCTGGTTGTTACACTGCACGGGGACAGGCTTACTTACTGCAAGTCCCAGTGACACACCCAGCGAGAGGACCTGTTGTATTCCGCAGCATCGATAATCCCCCAGAGTGAACGTGTCTGCGTGTGAGTCAGCCCCGTGCGGGTGTGGTTTGGTCGCTGTCTGTGTTTTCTGCATCACCACACGGTTCCCACAGGGGGCCCGAGCTGAAGGAGGCACAGAGAGTGGACTTCATTCATTACTTATCACACCAACTGGACACTCAGCCACCAGTCTTCACACACACCACACGCACAAATACACACACAAATACACACACACAAATACACACACAAATATATACACACCACACACACAAATACACACCACACACAAATACACACACCACACACACACAAATACATACACACCACACACAAATACACACACCACGCACACAAATACACACACCACACACAAATACACACACAAATACACACCACACACAAATACATACACACACAAATACATACACACACAAATACACACACAAATACATACACACACCACACATAAATACATACACACACAAATACATACACAAATACATACACACACCACACACAAATACATACACACACAAATACACACACCACACACACACAAATTACACACACCACACACAAATAAATACACACACACCACACACACACCACACACACACACACACACACACACACACACACAGAGTGCTCAGGATCATGCCAGTCAGCCTAACAGATGATGGTTATTTATGGTGCGTGCCCCTTTGGGTGACAAAGTAAAACCTGGCTGGGCATTAGAAAGCAGAGGTGACCCACGGAGTCATGTGGCCTGGCCCCACGTGGGCATGAGGGGCGAGTTAATGAAATGTGTGGCCACTCACAGCAGGCGAATGTGTAAGCGGGTACTTCCGTGTGGCCTTTGGATGAGGTTACAAATATCCAGCGGCCCTGGGCAGGGAAAAGGCCGCCCGCCGCCCCTGTTTTACAGCGAGTCACGCACCAGACTCAAGCAGGCGTGGGAGTGAGTCCCTGGGACTCTGAGGTGTTCACGGCACGTCCACACTGTGGAGGGTCGGCTCTCCAGGGGCTGCAAGGCCTTTCCCCACTCCTGGCATTTGAGAAGGTGGGTCTCCGTGTCTGTGTCCGGCCCACCGACCCGTCAGCACCTCCTGTGTGTCTGTAAGTCTCCTCCCTCGTGTGCTGTGCTCCAAGCTCCTGCTTTCTTTACCCCGAATCGCCAACCTCTGCCACCTGACCAGGCCTCTGATTCAGGGGAGCTGCCCGCACAGAATGAAGTCGAGGGAAGCTGGCCCCCTCACCTCTCAGCCCTCTGCCCCCTCCTCCCCTCGCCCCCTCTCCTCCCTCAGAGCACCAGCGCCTGTGTTTCTTGGTCACAAGGAGGACTTTGGACTGCGCCTTCCTATCCCCATGTTCACCCTATAGGTTTGTGTTTGTACAGAAAAATGAGTAAATATTTATCTGCCAGAACCGCCTGCTCTGGTTCAGGAACAAAAAAGCAACTGTCTGACGTTTTGTTTACTTATTTATTCATTCCCCCGTTTTACTGAGATCTAATTGGCACGGTTTGCCATTTTAAGAACGATCGCTCAGTGTGACGTGTGAATGAGAACACTCACACTCGTTTCTGAAGACTTCCAGACATTACGTCGGTTCTCAGGAGGGTAGCCAGAGGGGTCCTGTTAAAATATCAGCCAGATCAGCTAAAAGCCCGTCAATGGCCCCAGTGTGACTCAGAGGAGAAGCCCAGGTCCCCCCCAGGCCCGTGACCTGGCTGCCCTCCATC